AATATATTTTTTAATTATAAATTAATATACAAAAAAAATATTATAATCACTTAATATTATTAAAGGTAAAAAAACGAAACTGAAATTTATTAGATAATTATTAATTAAAAATGTGACCACAAATTAAAAAATTAAAATGGATAAATTTGTCAATAAAATTAAAAAATTATAATCTACTAGCAGTTTGGTATAAAAAGTTACATAAACTAGTTTTTTCAATCCGCTAGCTATTTGGACCCTAACCGTTATCCGCTAGTCTCAAACCGCTAAATAAAAATTTTACCAAACACTTTAGTTGTAGCGGTTTCGAAATATATAAATTTACCAAACACTTATATTTAGCGGTTTAGGTAAAACCGCTAACTGCTACTCCAAAACCGCTATACCAAACGGGACCTTAATAAGATAACATTTTAAATTTTGAATTGAGTTTTAATTAAATAAATTGACATAAATTAAGGTTAAAATTCTAATTATTTTTAGGAGTTGGGACTAATATGCGCTTTTTTTATAGCTAATTCTATAGTTAATATGCCATGTGTAAGATTTTAGGCTTACAATTTTATATGGTATTAAATAAATATAATGTAATATTAAACTAATAGATGTATATAATATTATAAGTAAATTTTTGAATAAAAAGAGTTAAATTAAAAAATGACACATCACGTTGTAAATTTATAACATTACGTGATATGTAACTACAATATTTTTAATAAAATATTTAAAAATATGTATAAAAAAAAGTCAATTTTAAACTGATAGATAGAACTAGTCAATTAAAGCAATTGAATTGGAACAGAGGTTAAAAACGGATCAATTACCAAATTAAGTTTTAAAACATTAAGTAAATTAAATTGAGATTTGAAGGAAAATATGTTCGTTTTGGTAAGAATTACCTTAATTTTAAATTTATGATTTTTTTTTCTTAATTATAGAGAATGTTGGGATTACATTCCATATATAAATTAGTTTATTCCTTTTCTTGGAAAAGAAATAAAAACACTGCACATATATAAATCCAAGCAAAAGGAAGAAAGCGGACACAATTCAAGGAAAGAAAAAGGAGAAGAAAGAACAAAAAGATCCAAATATGGCCGAAGAATGGCCCCCTTACCCTCCTTGTGCTAATGGATTTTGTAGTACTCGTCCATGCTGTGCTGTTGGTATGTATTCTTTTCCTTTCGAAATGAACCGGATGTTTTATTTTTCAAAAATAGTTTAAAATAATTTTTATAT